TATTATGGATGATGAAACTGATGCTTGAGGGAGTGAGTAATTTGCCCAAGTTCATCCAGTAAGTTTCCTGGTGGCAAGTTCAATGTTTTTTCTATTTCTCCACCCCACGTTTCTCTGAACCACATTTCTTCGTATCCACAGTCAGCTAATCATATCAGAGCTATAATGACAAATGCCATGTGGTGCTACCCATGGCATTCACTATCCACCAATGTAAAGACTGTTTCTGTATTTTCTTCAAGTCAGTTATTTTGTCCAGTAAGACACAGTAAAGCAGGGGGCTTTTTCCTTATAAGTTCGTTTGTAATAATATGTCTTTATGATTTTTATCACAGCCATTATGTATAACATCACACTTGATGCAGATGGATTTTCATCCAGAGTAACCTCCAGGGGTTTATTTAAAGAAAATGGTGAAAGGTTCCTGCAGAAGACCATGGTAGTAAACCAGGCACAGAGCTGCTCTGAGCACATCATTCAGATACAGGTGAGGCCTCAGCATCATCCCTTTTCACCTCAATTCTTCCTAAAGACTAATGAAAGGCAAAAGTCTAAAGTGGAAGCTTGTGAGTTAGACAATGCTTGCCCTCCTGATGAATGACTTTCTCATCTAACTCCATCAACCGGAAGCATATTTCCTTTATGTTAACACTGGTGGTCACATTCTATTATTATATAAGTAAGTAGCGTTAAATTTTATTTGGGATTGTAACTAAAAGGGCTGAAAATTAGATTCTGAAAGAAATCAAAGAAACAGTGCTTTCTTAAATGCTTGACAGGGAGAACATTCTGTTGGCAATAAATTTTATTTTGATATTTTCCTATCGGGGAAAAACTTTATGCATTTTTAAGCCACTGAAACAGATAATTCCAATTGTGGTTTCCACTATTAAAGTAAACATAGATGAAGTATGGTGGATTATGAGGTAAAAATTATTCGTTCTAATCTTATGTCATAATTACTGTAGTTCACATGGATTTTGAAAATCTCCCAAGTAGGAAAAATGCTTTTCAGGAGAAAACCTCCATCAGGAAATTTGTTTTATAAATTACATGAATATTTCCCCTTAGAAACCACATAACAGTATTTAAAAGGGTAATTTACTCAGGAAACCACTTTACAAAGAGCTATTTAAGTACTTTCCTAGAATATGGTTCTCAGAGTTTACAGTGCAAAAGAAGTGCCAAGAAAACTTTTATAAGACACATATTCCAGGTCCCCAACACCAGAAATCTAAGTTTGAAGGTCCAAGAAATATGCAGGTTTAAGGGGCACTCCAGATATCCGTGATGTAGATGGATGGCACAGAGATCAGACTTCAAGAAATGCTCTTATACTTGTAAGAGTTGGAAAAACATAAAAGTTAATAGATGAATTAAAATCAATTGTTTAATTTACTGTTCAAGTTGAAGGTTGTTTGTGAAGACATTTTTGTTGTTAAGGTGCCAATTATAGATTCTTGAAAGGAAAAAAAGCTGGTTTCCATTCTCTCCCATCCTGTGCTAAGTAGTGGATCAAATTACATATAATTACACATACTGGGGGAGCAAAGACAGCCAGGCTGTTTTTCTTTTTTTAAAAAACCCTGTTTACTATTTGCCATCAATGCCAGTTAAAGTCCATCCTAGGTGCTAAGGCTGCTGCCAGTTGGAGAAGCACCTCCTGGTAGTCAGGCAGCTGTCTGCGGATAGACCCCCGCAAGGGGCTCAAGACTTAGGGGTAGGTCCTGCAAATGGACTAAATAATACTGAAAATTCCACTTCCCAGGAAAAGGCAAGTTAGAATTTTAAGGTTTATCATTTGTATAGACATGGTTCTTTCTTGCCAAGAAGAAGAGGTTTATAAGAAGATTGCTAGATGACTCTCTCAACCTTGTTTTGGCATTCTTACGTTTTCATTAAACAGGAAGCCTCAAAAACCGGAAGGGGCTGTGACTCCTGGAATATGGCAAATCCTCTACTTTCTCTACTAGAGGCAAAGTGGAGAAGTTGTACTTGCCGGTGGAGGGCTGGCTTTGATGACGACTGAGTGATACATGCATCATCTTTTATGTGAAAGGGCCGACACAGCTCCTCACAGCTAGGGCCAAAAGTTGGGAAGCTTGATTTAGGATGCAGAAATCACCTTTATTGGATTTTTGTAGAGCAGTCAGGTTCTGTCTAAGGAGGGAAGTCCATTCTGGGTATCTCCCTTCTAGGACATAACTTTCTCTTCCAGAGATTTGGCAAGGACACCTAAGGACTCTTAAATCTCGGCAATAGGAATTAGGAGGATGTCGGGTACTGACATAGTAGTCTTGTGAGTGTTAAAACTGGAAATAACATCCAAATATTTACATTTACTTGCATATGAATAATGAGATTACTGATGAGTTTAACTAAGAATTGCTGTTTCAGATTTTTACTGGACTCAAATCTGTCTCCTAAGGTTTCTTGCATTAGAGAGGCTAAAAACAGAATCAGGACAGAAGAGAAGAAGCAAGAATCTTGACCATTCAAAACAAGGATATTCTACACGATTAAGAGCTGCGTTCTTAATTATAAACACATTTGTGGTCATTTTATTGTTTTTAAGCTGCCGTGCTCTAATACATTTTGTGTGTGTGTGTGCACGTGTGTGTGTTTAGGAGCCCTCTGATGTTGTCAACCCTTTGGAGCTGCGTGTGGACATCAGTCTGGAAAACCCTGGCACTAGCCCTGCCCTCGAAGCCTATTCTGAGACTGCCAAGGTCTTCGGTGTAAGTGCAGCTGGCCCTTCCTGGATTTAGACTGGCTAACGAAGTTTCACAGCCACTGTAGTAGCGTTTGAAAGATACTTAGGACATAGCCTTTAAATTCTTAATTTTGAAAATGAAATACAATTCCATAAATGTTCAGTTGCACTGGCCGTTTAGTTCCACAAAGGCAGAGATTTTTGTCTTTCTGGTTCACTGCTCTATTTTCAGCCCCTAGAGCAGTGGCTGGCCCACTGTAGGTGTTCAATGAATATTTGTTGAAGAAATAAGTAAAAATAAAGCAAACACTTTGTTCTCACCACCCACTTAAAAAATAAGATATTACCAATACCTGTGAAGCTCTGTGTGCCACTCCCCGTCACATCCGCTTTCACCTGGCTCAGCCAGGCAAATCATTATCTTGAATTTTGTGTCTATCAATGATTGTCTTTGTGATTTTGCTCAACATGTATATTCCTAAAACACTGTTTGGTTTTGCACTTCATGTAAATGGAATTGTACTGTATGTATTCTTCTGAAAGTCGCTTTTTTAGCCCAAGAGCAAACGTATGGATCTCTTGTGCTTTTTTGTAGATTCCTTTCCATAAAGACTGTGGTGATGATGGACTTTGCATCTCTGATCTAGTCCTAAATGTCCAACAGCTGCCAGCTGCTCAGTGAGTTTTACTTTAAAGCTCAGTGTAAAATACAGAACTAAAAGAAACATTAGATTATTTTATTCAAGTGAATGTTTATGGAGTTTTTTTATAAAAGAAACATTCATAAATAGTAAAGACCTTCAAAAACTAAATTTCAATTTCTATTAATACATCCACATAGGAGTAAAACAATAAGAAATATAAAATTATCTGCATTTGAATGGTTTCTTTCCCTCTAATGTAGTAGCAACAAAGAAGAAAATCCAATAGCATTTACTTATTTATTGTTAGTATCATTATAAAGATAGTTTATTATTGAGCAATTTTCTCAGCATTCTAAATAAATATAAAGAATATACTTTTTAAATGAATATTGGCCTTTTTTTTTAAACCTTAATGGCTTTCTTCTTTCTTTTTACTTTTAACAGGGAACAACCCTTTATTGTCAGCAACCAAAACAAAAGGTTAACATTTTTAGTAACACTGAAAAACAAAAGGGAAAGTGCATACAACACTGCAATTGTTGTTGACTTTTCAGACAACTTGTTTTTTGCTTCATCTTCTATGCCGGTATGTTATGGCACCCTGAATTTGCCATCGTTGTGTTTCATACTTGTTTTCAATCACTGTCTTCTCCACATCCTCTAAGTTATTGAAGAAGCACCTTAACCCTCAGATGATCCATCCTAACTCTGTGGCTTCGGACTAGGTAAACCACATGAGAACATAGTCTGGCTCTGTATCTAGACCAATTCTGCTTCACAACTTGGGTCAGTTTTTCCTTTACCCTGAGACCTGGCAGCAGTAACTAGACACTCCCATAACCCTTCTCGAGCCATCCATGTGATGAGGCTGCCGTGGTCCACGCTGATGCTGTGCACTTGCTCTGAGACATTTGAGTTCCAAAGCCTAGTCCCAGCTTTGCAACCACAGGTCTTGCTACTGCCAAGTTGATGCATTCCAGCAAAGCCAATTAATCATGCTGCCTTGATCACTATACCAGGAACACACTTGACCATGAGTGCCCCCTGGTCCCTTCTCTACTGCCAAGCAATGAAGAGAAAAAAGGAGAGAAGGAAAAGCTGAGATTTTCCAAATGAGTTACTTGATTAAACAATGGTTTCATTTAGTTTAAAGTTAATATGTTAATATGAACTTAAAAGATTCAGAGTTCTAAACTTATCCTGATTTTTGGTGTTTAAATGTCCTATACCAAATGGCAACTGCTTAAAGTGGAAAAAAAAAAAAACCTGAGGAAAACTAAAAAAGATCCTTTAAATTATTTAAAATATTAACACCAACATATGATTTTGTTTCCTTCTCTCAAAAATGCAAGTTTCAAATATATTGAGAGAAAGGTATTCCTAAAAATAGCATTTCTGAATATTAGATTAAAGCTATTTGTGTTTCTGAAATATAAAAGCTATGATTTCCTTCTGAGAAAAAAATTCTAGTATTTAATCTTTTTTGGCTTGTTGAGTGTCCTGGTTATCTTTACTGTTAGCAATAAAAACAGTATATTAGCCACCTGGACAGTAGAAGATTTCAAGTCTTGAGGGCTAATAAACTATTTCAACATGAACCAACCTTACTACTGAAATGTCCCTGTACTTCTTTCACCGTGTGTGAGTACACACACACACACACACACACACACACACGTTGTATGCTAATTCATTTCTGTTGTTCCCTTGGTCTTGTTTAGGTTGATGGGACAGAAGTAACATGCCAAGTTGCTTCATCTCAGAAGTCTGTTACCTGTGATGTAGGCTACCCTGCTTTAAAGAGGCAACAGCAGGTATAACTTGCATTTATCCTCAAATCCATGTGAGCCCCTCCTCAGCACTCGTGTTAATTTACCAACATAATATATCCTCTTTATTAGATATCATCATATGCTGCGCATCACAAAATAACTGGCTACGTACTTAGAGGAACTTTTAATATCTGAATTTTTTTCTTTAAATTATTAATAAAAGTGGGATTTCCCCATGCAGTTCATTCCAAATAGCACACATAATATGGAAAGTTCCTTTTGTCTGAATATATTGACCAAAATTGGTCAAAATGCTGTACACAGAGTCACAGAGATCATTTGTTAGCTCCTGGTAACAAGTTTCACGTCAGCACAAAGCTTTCAAATTCAGACAAGTGTATGTGCCTGGATAACTTATATGTGTCAGTTGAAAGTTAAGCTTTCCTAATTCTAAAGTGAGGTATGCTAGAGCAAGGTGGACAAACAAATAATGATATTCTACAAATCTGAAAGCTTAGAGTATATAAAATTCAGAATCGAATTGGAGTGAATTTATTTTTATGGGAAATGTGGGGTGTTTTTTCATGTTGGCCTCTGCGTATGAAGCATCATAGATTGATAAATTTTAATTTTGTATATAGGTGACTTTTACTATTAACTTCGACTTCAATCTTCAAAACCTTCAAAATCAGGCATCTCTCAGTTTCCAAGCCTTAAGGTAAAACATAATGAAGTCATGAATTGATGATGGATGGCTTTTATAATATATTTCTTTAGGTAATTTCCTAATGCTTGTCTCAATAGTGAAAGCCAAGAAGAAAACAAGGCAGATAATTTGGTCAAGCTCAATGTTCCTCTTCTGTATGATGCTGAAATTCACTTAACAAGGTAGGTGAAGCCATGGAGACCCTATTACCACTGACACCACTCCAGTTTAGAACACATTTCTCTAGTGACTAAAGAAGTTCTCTACATGTACGTTCTTAACTCAAAAATTTGAATTAAAATGTTTCCCCCTTGTCAACTAAAACAGGAGTCTGCAGACAGATTGGTCTCTAGGAAAACCTTGAGCGATTTTAGATTTATTGCCTGAGAGCAGCACCAGAAAGGCAGAGAAATAACCCTTTTGCCACATGTCACGGGCACACTCCTCTGCAGGCCCTCAGGGGAGCTGTTAATATAAACTTCCTTAAGATGTTGAAACAGGACTCTCAAGGGTCCTGAAAGTTGCTGGCACTTTTTTCTCATTGCCCAATTCCTACTGTACATGAGATCTCAAGCAGTATACCTGTTCCTGGAAATCGATGCCCCAAGCACAATGCTTTGCATATAGTAGGTCTGCAGAAGAGATTGAATTTCATCACGGATTGAATGTCTAGATCTAATCTAGTTTCTGCATAAAGAATTTCCTAACAAAACAAATTGGGGTTTTCTTCCAATCGGGAGTAAATGAGAGGTTTTCTAAAGGAGGTCACCCATGAAGAAATGCTTTCTTCCCTTTCTTTGCCTGCTCAAAGCAAGTAAAGTTGAGAGCAGTTCTCAAAATGGTACTGGTTGAGACCAGCTATCTTGAATGGTTCAGAGAAACAGGTGTCTTGGGAAGTGAGTAACATACAAGTACCACAGGTACTAAGGGTTGATATTGTCTTAATTCACACTTAGAAGTGAAGCAAACTCATGACACAGACAGACTGGAGCTCAGCTGTGCAGGTGCATGGGCCACCAGGGATGCCCACCTCCAAGGCTGGAACCAGAGTTCCCTACCTGGTGAAGCACTGAGGCAGCTTCCCAGCATAAATTAATGACCCCTGAAAAACATGCTGCAGTGTTTTCCCAAGAAGTCCAGTGACAGCAGGTTTTTCCAACTTCTACGACATCACTCCAGCCCCTAAAAGCATGGAATTTGTGGATCATCCAATATAGATCACTGAGCAAAAACAAAAAGGAAAATATATCATCATGTCTAGAGCTTGAGACACATGAGCAGAGATGAAAAGAATGCTTCTGTATTAAGTGAGTTGCAAACAGCAAAGCAGAAGCAAAATAGAGTCCAAGTCATTCATCTCTGAAAAATTCATCAGTAACTGCAGACTTTAAAGGACCTTGCTTGCTGAAATAAGTAACTGAAAACAAATGCAACCAAAGAGATTAATACTGCCACATTATCTGGATTTTTTTTTCTTCTTAGTTACATCGATTCTTTCTTCTCCTCTAAACACTATTTGTTTATACAGCCTTTAAATCATTCCACTTTCCCACCATGGCCAATTTTTTTAGATGTGTGTGTGTGTGTGTGTGTGTGTGTTTAGAGATTAGGGTATTGTTGCATCACCCAGGTTCAAGTGGAGTGGTGCCATCATAGCTCACTGCAGCCTTCAACTCCTGGGTTCAAACAATCCTCTTGCCTCAGTCTCCCAAGTAGCTCGGACTACAGGTGTGTGCCACTACACCTGGCTAAATATTTTTTATTTTTTGTAGAGATGAGGTCTCCCTATGTTGCCCAGGCTGGTCTCAAACTCCTGGCCTCAAACAATCCTCCCACCTCAACCTCCCAAAGGGCTGAGACTACAGGCATGAGCTACCGCACCCGGCATTTTTCAGATATTTTAACATGAAATAAGATTGAAATGAGACTTCATTTTTACTAATTAACATCTTAGCTATGTATTTTTGTGATGGTAACTTGGATTCTAATATATGCTAATATTCTTTAAAATATATCATATAGTCAAAAAAATTAACATGGAGAAGTATAAAAAACAAAAGCTAAAATGGCTCTTAATCCTACCATCTAGAAAACCCAAACATTACAGAAGGATACACAATGAGAGGTGAGGTCATCCCTCCCTTTCTTCCCTTGTTCCACTCCCTATAGAAGACAAATAAGACTGTTTTCAGAATACCTTCCAGATACAGGGTTTGCTTTTCTGCCAGGATGTATGTATGTAAGACACACACACACACACACACACACACACACACACACACACACATACACGTATGTGCCTGTATACACATTTTATTTGCCCAAAAGGAATGATAAAACACTCTTCTGTACCTTGCTTTTTACATAATCTTAAAGAAGTTGTCATATCAGGACACACAGATCTAACTTATATTATGCTAGTCCTGGCTGGATCATAATTTATGTAGCCAATTCAATATGAATGAGATATTTGGTTGTTTTGCATTTTTATTTTGTGTTTAATCATTTAAGCAGTGCTGCAAAAAAAACCGTTTTAACAGACGTCTTTGCAAACTTTTGAAAAAACTTCCTACCCATTTATTGAGTATAACCCTTAGCAACAACTTTGATACTATATAACTGTGAAGTTACATTGTATAAATATGATGGGTGAGAAATAGTTAAATAATATTATTTCTTCAAGTTCCCCACCCCCCAGCATAGCTAACTGCTATCACAAATATATTGTGATATATCGATGACCACTTAAGTAACTTAAAGAACACTTAAGTAACAAATGGCAAAATATCAGATCTCCTTAAAATGCAAGAGCAGAGGATACTCATTTAGAAACTGGTCCTATTTAGGAGCTTACATAAAGATCATCTGGAAAGCAAAGGAAATAATTCATGCACATGTAGCCAAGATTTCTGTTTCAAAACTAGTCAGTATTCCCATTTTCCACATAAGGCTGACAAATCATGGTTTCCTCTCATATATAACCTTGACAAATACCACGTCTATTCAAATCTCCCTATGACATAGTTTCCTTTTGAGAATTTGGAAAAAAATTTTAAGACGTAAAAGAGAAAGACAAGCTTTTAGTAAAGAAAACAACAAATTCTCTCTCAGAAAATGTGTAAAAATTTCTTTTTTAAAGAAATAAAATCAACATCCTATAATTAAGATAAATTGTTCAGTGGGAATAAATGAAGAAAATGTACATAGAGCTTCTCAGACACTATTCTCGCCACTTGCCCCTTAATCCCCACCCAAAGAAGCTACCCTGGTTGGAATCCCACCTCAGAGCCCCAGAAATGAGTTAGGAGAAGGGAGGTCTCCAGTTTCATTCTAGTCTGAGTGGTCCTGTGGGGGTTCCTCTGACCTAGTCATCACTTCGCTTGCAGACCTCAGTTGGCAATCCCAAGCAAAAGAGTCAGGATCAGTCCAAAGCCTTTAGGTCTAGTCTAATAAACTTCTGGGTCAGCCACCTTACAGGTGGTCTCTAGTGGTGGAAACAGATTTGACCAACCCCAATTCAGACCTAAACCATTTTAGTTGGTTTGGAACTAGAGAAGGACAGGAAGAAGGAATTAAAAGAATAATGTATACCATGTTTCACAGACATCCAGTAATGAATATTGCAGGAGCTAATACCCAGTACTCTTATCATTGTATTTCTGCCACACGAAGTGGAAAACCCCTGGCTTCTAAATCCATTCATCCAATGAACACAGGCTAAGTGTCCACTATATTGATATACCAGTCAATATAACAGCAATCTTGAGAAGAGTTCTACTATCAGTTCTAAAGTAATACGTTTGTACTTATTTTAGAAATTTGACAACTGATAAACCTATAATGTACAGACTCACAGCAGAAAGCCCATGAAGGGATTGTTTTAGAAGGAATTTATGTTAGTCTTTGAAACATACATTGGACCATAAGCCATTAACAAACATTTGTTTTTATTTAGTGCTTTTGCAATTAAAATTGAACTTTTACTTGTAACGTAAGCTATAAGATACTTAAATAAAAGAAATATTAAGCTTTGAGAACAACAGCAAAACTAAAATATCTGGCTTTACGAACATCATCCAACAGATCCACCAACATAAATTTTTATGAAGTCTCCTCGGATGGGAAGGTTCCTTCTATTCTGCACAATTTTGAAGATATTGGTCCAAAATTCACCTTCTCCCTTAAGGTTGGTAAGCCTGTCATAAGAATGACAAATCTGGCAGAAAGGGGAAGAAAAAAAATGAGTTTGGGAAGACAATAATAAAGAAAAGGAAATTGGAATACACCAGTGATTCTCAAAGTTTCACTACCTGGAGGAATTATTAAAACACAGATTGTTGGGCTTTATTTCCCAGAGTCTCTGATTCAGTAGGTCTGGGGTGAGTCTAAAAATTTGCATTTCTAACAAGTTTCCCGGGGATGCTTCCACTGTTGCTTCAGGTGCCACACTTTGAGAACCACTAGATCATAGATTTGTAAATAACTGGATTTGTGCATAGTTATTTGTCCTGGGTAAGGGATAATTGATATATTTTAAAGGCAAATGTTCAAAGTCAATCAACAGAGCATTACTACGATGGTATGTCTGTGGGTAAAATGGTTTGGAATATAATTATTATGCCAATCTATCCTTGGATACTGCTTCTGTTTGTGAAATTTACTATTCATGTACAAATATTGGTTTTGTACAGTCATACTAGGCAGTATCTAAAAATATTTTTGAATCAAATTCTACTGGGTACTAGTAAACAATTATTAATCTAAAGATTATCAGTTATATAAAGAGAAATTAATTTGTGAAAGAATGAATATTTTATAATATAATAAAGTTACAGAACTTTGGAAAGTAAAAAGAATTCATCCACCACCTTAAGCCAATACCATTTTATTTTTGTACATTTCTTATTAGTTCATTACAAGGTTGCAACCCTGCAATTTCGTGATTAAAAAAATCTTTAAAAGTATCTTGATTTGTGATCCAGATACGGGAATTTATAAAATGTGAATGGTATTTGACAACTATGTTATTTCAATCAATTTGTGGTAATAATAAAATAGCATTCATAGACAGTATATTAAGTATCAGCCGTTGTATCAAGCACTTTATGTATGTTGTCCCCATTTAATTCCCAAGTCAGTTATGAGGTTGGTTCTGTTATTATTCCTAGGGATGTTATTTAAAATGTTTAACAACCAATAGGGCATGAGCCCTGCCAATTAGAACTGAAACTCCACCAGTGAGAACAGATGCTGTACCAGTGCCCTGTATCAGCACATATCTGCTGAATTTCTCATTATCTTTATTTTACAAATGAAAACAAAGAAGCACAGAGAGGTCAAGTTCCTCGCCCAAACCACACTGCTAGTCAGTGGCAGAGTGGGACCCCACTCCCTGGCAGCCCAACTCCACAGATGGTGTTTTCAACCATTTATGCCACATCTCTCAAGTTACAAATTATTTACCCATTAAAGTTGTAGATGTTAAGTTTTTTCCATTAAGAGGTGAGACAGAAAGACCCAAATATGCCTATAAAGTGATCGGTCACCTTCATATAGACTCAATCTTACCACTTTATAGTTGCCCTTCCTCAACACAGGGTTATTGATCGCTTTCCTTGCATCTTATACATCCTGCAGCAATACCAGCATGTTTTATTCCCTGTGTAGGTAACAACAGGAAGTGTTCCAGTAAGCATGGCGTCTGTAATCATCCACATCCCTCAATACACCAAAGAAAAGAATCCACTGATGTACCTGACTGGGGTGCACACAGACCAGGTAAGGATGGAAAAATTGCCTACAAACATGTGCACTTTCAAGATGGAAATAACCCATGAGGTTGGGGTGATTGTGTCTGACATCTTATAGATAGAAACAGAAGATGATCCCTATGCATCCCGCATGCCAGTTAACTAGCAGTTAATGTCATATTAGAAGCAGAATATTGTTACAAGAAAACAAGTATCTGAGTCTAGGGATTTACAGGCAGCAGAAATTATTCCAAAAGCCCCATTTCTGCCAGTTGAAGATCTGAGTTTGATGGGCCCTGTTAAGAAAAGACTGGGAAGTGAGAGATTGAACCTACGGTGGGAGCATAGGAGATCTATGGCATAATTAGTAGCTGGTCTTCAAGCGGCCAGCCTGGACTTTCTCCTGGTAATACTCAACCCTGGCTGTTCATTTTAATCACCCAGGTTGCTTTTTATTTATTTATTTATTTTTATTATTCCAGGGTATTGTGAGGGTACAAACATTATAGTTACACTTTATGTCTTTGCCTCACCCAAATGCGGGTTAAAGGCATGCCCTTCCCTCCCTTTAGTGATCCACGTGTCCTTTAGTTGTAGATTTGCCCCCCATCCCCCTAATCCCTAGAGAGTATTTCTGTCATGTGATCACCCTAGTGTTGATTAGTTAATACCAATTTGATGGTGAGTACAAATGGATCCCGTTCTTCTGCTCTTGTGGTGCCTCACTTTGGATAATGGGCTTAAGTTTAATCCAGGAAAGTATGAGGTGCCAGATGACTGTCGTTTCTTATGATTGAGTAATATTCCATTGTAAACATATACCAAATTTTAATAATCCACTCATGGATTGACGGGCACTTGGGTTGTTTCCACATTCTTGCAATAGTGAATTGTGCTGCCATAAACATTCGGGTGCAGATGTCCTTATCGTAGAATGTTTTGTGCTCTTTTGGGTAGATGCCTAATAGTGCTATTGCTGGATCGAATGGTATTTCTAATTTTAGCTCTCTGAGGTATCTCCAAATTCTTTTCCACAGCGGTTGTACTAATTTGCAGTCCCACCAGGTTGCTTTTTAAATAAGAGTGATGCCCAGATCCACCCTAGGCAATTAACTCAGAATCTCTAGAGATAAGACTCTAACACTGGTGCTTTTATTTAAAAGCTCACCCGGTGATTCTACCATGCAGCCTGAGCTGAGAAGCACTGCTCTAGCCAAGCCCTTTGACATTGGCTCACCCTTAGTCCAGCACTTAGCTGGCTCTACAGTCGTGTTATTCCTGTAGTGTGCATAAGGGACTATAGGAAATCAGAATCCTAAAATGTTCCACAGAAAAGAAACCCAGATTAAATCAGTGACAGAGTCTCATTCTGTCGCCCCAGGTAGAGTGCAGTGGTGTCATCATAGCTCACTGTAACCTCCTCCTGTCTCAGCCTCCCAAGTAGCTGGGACTACAGGCGCACACCAACACACCCAGCTGATTTCTTCTGTTTTCAGAAGAGACAGGTCTCACTCTTGTCCAGGCTAGTCTCAAACTCATGACCTCAAGCAATCCTCCAACTTTGGCTTCCCAGAGTGCTAGGATTACAGGCATGAGTCACTGAGTCTGGCCATATGTGGGCTATTCTTACAGCCCACCTCATCAAATCCTATCAGGAGGATTGGAATACCTCACGGTTTACCTTAGTGATTACAAGGAGTGTGACCAGGTCGGTGCAGTTGAAAGAAGCCTAACAGCCCCTCCCTTGCTCCAACACCTGACAGTAGGATTTCCTAACATGTTAAAAGGAACATCGTAAACTTTTTTGCTTCTTAAATCTGATTGGGTGTTCTTCTTTGTAGGCTGGTGACATCGGTTGTAACGCAGATATCAATCCACTGAAAATAGGACAAACTTCTTCTTCTTCTGTATCCTTCAAGAGTGAAAATTTCTGGCACACGAAAGAATTGGTAAGGACGGGTTAAGGTGTGAAAGTTCCCTTCAGCGAGTCACTGTTTCACCTGGAATCAAGGCACTTCTCTTCTCCAACCAGCTGGTAGTACAGAGCTTTCTTATTTTGTCTTTGGTGGCTTACATGAATCAAGAGTTAGAAAACACACGCTCAAATATAGGTTATTAGAATTATTAGTTATGCCATTACTTATAAAATTCAAGTTCCAGACTTCACGACATCAAAAGGACTCATGTGAAACTGTGTTTATGCCTTGTGCACTTTGGGAACATTGCAAAGAGCTGTGAAGGAACTGGGTAAGCGCTTCAAAATTGAAGTCCTTTTCCACATAATCACTGATGTCTTTTATTTAGCTGCTAAATACGCTACCTTTCTCTGTTTTAAAATATTTTGTTATCTCCTGCTCCTGAGCTAACCTTCTTCTTTGGGAAAGAGAATAGTCTAGCATCTAGCATGGTGCTTGGCACGTATTAAGTACTCACATAAGTAAGCATTTAGTAAGCAATAAACCCTAAACAAACCACAACTCTCTTGGTTTCCTTTGATTACAACTGTGTTAGCTTGTGAAGGATAGGGAAGACTGGAAAATAGGAAAATAAAATTCATGTTTCTTTTAATGTGCATCAGTTCACAAAGAGATATATGTATGCTCTAACATAAATGGACCATGCTACCTTTTGGCCTTTGACATAGGCCATTATGTCACAGGCTTTTTAAAATAGACTTTATTTTTTAGAGCAGTTTTAGATACACAGCAGGATTGAGTGGAAGGTACAGAAGTTTCCCAAACACACCCCGTCCCCACATACACACGACCTTCCTTACTGTCGGAATCCTGCACCAGAGTGGTACATTTATTACAATTGATGGAACCACATTGACACATCATTATCACCCAAAGTCCATAGTTTACATTAGGGTTCACTCTTGTTGTTTTTTAAATCCACTGTTATAGTATCATACAGAGTATTCTCACTGCCCTAAAAATCCTCTGTTCTGTACTCTGCCTATGCATCCCTCCCTGCCCCCAAACCCTGAAACCACTGATCCTTTAACTGTCAACTTTTTATAAATCTGAAGAATCTATTTTTATCATTAGGTTTAATAACTAAATTGTAGTACAGTTTGTGTATGTGTAATAATTTATGTAACTAGTACACTGTTGATAAACATGAGTTATTTACAGGTTTTGGGTTTTTTTTAGGTTTTTCTACTCCTAGAAATAGTAGTGCAATAAACACGCTGGTGTATTTTGTTCCACACATTCCTGATTATCTCCTGAGGCTATCTGTACAGGCAGGAAATGGCTGAGGCAAAGGGTGTGCCCCTTTTACCTTTTGAGACATAGTCCCAAGATTCGTTGAAGAAGGGTTATAATTACTAATAGCTCATGAGATTGCCTGTTTCCCTAGATCCTTCCCAGCACTGGGTTTTATCTATCTTTGTAAAATGTTAGCATTTATTTTTAATGCCCATACTAATCCTCTCTCTCTTTTATTATTGATGTCCCCCATAAGAACTGTAGAACTGCTTCCTGTAGTAATGTTACCTGCTGGCTGAAAGACCTTCAGGTGAAAGGAGAATACTTTGTTAATGTGTCTACCAGAATTTGGAATGGGACTTTTGCATCAGTAAGTTTCATTTATTGGATTTATCAATAGCTGGGAAACATAAGACTTCACTGTCAAGAAGTTCTTCCCCTTTGACAAAATTAGTATTCTGGCTAATGTCAGCAGTGCCTGAATAACCTAAAGCAATTTTACCCCGGAGGGCAGTACGTTTCCATCCCTCTCCAGTGTTCACCCTACCTGGCTGTGCCTTTCACCTGGGTCTGCTTCTGAGACTCCATGCCAACCTACTCCATCTGTGGGATGCTGTCCTTGCCATCTCTGCTGTCCTGGGCTGCAGTGGGCGGCCTTTTTTTTCTCTCTCCCCATCTTCCCATCTCCTCCACACACCCAAATCAGAATATCAGCCTCTGTCTCACTCCTTGAGCTCTCAGCTAATCGACTGATCTCACACCACTCAGTAGATGAATCTAGCATAAAGATTCATCTCCCTATATTGGAGCCAGGGAACCACTCTGCTCTACTGTTTTACACTTTCTCTAATGGAAAGAGCCCAGTGAGCACACTACTTTGTAAATCATTTCAATCCCCATGAAAACTTTGAAGTGTCAAAACAGTGTCAGTGTTGTTTTTCCATATGGCAAGTGTGAGTCTGCCATAGTGATATTTGCTTTCAGTGGGAATTTTGGTAGCCAGAATTTCGGTCTGGCATGAAAACTGTAAGGATAGACAGGCCTCTTTAAATCGGACTGCTTGAGTGGCTAGCCATTCCTTTTACCAACACTGGCTCCAATTGAGGTGGCAAAATAGAAATTAGTCTGAAACCTCCTGGGGGGCTTTGTAGCTCTCACTGGATTTTCTTTTTTAATAATAAATCAGTTCCCAACGTGCTGAAAACCAGACTCTACTCCTTATTTTTATTTTACAATTTTATGATCCTTCCAATAAACTCCACTCCTTGCTACAGAGTTTTGTGTGAGATTAGAGAACTGAGCTCCCTCCAAATTTGTCCTTGGAGTCAAAATATGAGCAATATTCTTGGATAGAGACATAGTCAAAAAAAAAGAGTAATAGTGAAAGGTTAGAAAAAAATGCAGAATTGGGAAACTGGGGAAGTGAGGAGTTGAGTTTTCTTTTTGCTTGTTTGCTTTCATTTTGTTTTCTCGTTAGCTGCATTTGCTCCCCACCTTCAGGACAATTCTAAATCCTATGCTATGTGAAGTATGCTCATGGTTGTACCCCTTCCCACCTGCTGCAGCGTGGTGCTCAGTTTTACTGATTGGTTCTTGGCTCCTTGGATTTGAGGAACAAATGTTTTCATAGCAAACTTTGCCAACTGGGAAGGAACGAACACTGACTGTTGCACATCAAAATGCAATCAACCCCAGCTCTGTAAAATACATTTGGATTTTCTTGAGTTTGTTTAAAGCTACATCATTTCAACTGGGAGATTTGTTTTAAAGTACCTTCCCAGTGGTCTTCAGAAGCAGCAGTTCCATTTCTGGGAGCAAACTTGTTAGGAAGTGTATTATTTATGCAGTTCCACATGGTTATAATGGTCACTCTGAGAAAACACCCTTGAGAGTTGTTGTACGTCAAGTCCTACACATCTTCCTCCTTCATGAAAGGCCAAATGTTTATCCCTATCTTGTTTTCAGCTACTTCAACAGCAAAGTGGATATTTCTCAGACCACCTAGGAGATCCGGTCTGAAATATGGCTCTCATTTCCTGTATTAGAACTCATTAATGTACTGCCTTTTGGGGCCACCCTTTTTCTGATGTAGTGCAAGTCAATTTGACATTTCAAGTAATTTCATCATCAAGTGATTGCTCAGGCCTCCAAATTGAAGTTGGCTGCCATTTGTAAGGAAAAGCCTGGATCAATGCTAGCAGGTGTGTTTCTTCACTCTCCCCGTGTGCGGTATGCCTTCCTCTACCTGTTAACCCTGCAGGATATTGTGTACCTGTGAGAAGGGTCTAAACTGGGAGTGTTGTAAGAAAAATTCCTTCATCTTTGATCTCCAGGGACTATGAAGCCAGCATTCACTTAACTGCTACTTGTTTTTTAAACCTAAACCATTATCAATACTCTTAATGTTCCCCCGATAACATATATTTAAGAGACTGGTGATCAGAGTTAACTTCTGATGCAATCTTCTATCTTGAGAAAATTAAGAGTAACCAGAGACTGAGCCCCAGTGGAAAAGAAATAAATTTCTCACTTTTTGGAAATACATTCTCTCTTTCTGGCACCTAGATATAGTTTAGCAAATTACCTCATGGAGTATGTTGAATTGTGTGCCCTAGTAACCAGAAAAACTGAGCCCTAGTAGTCAGAGCATGTAAAAGTAGCTCTAAAATATGAGCATTATATTCTATTTCACAGTATGCATCAGGCCCAATATTTGCATTATAGATAATACAAAAACAATGAAATATACACATCAATAATGTTTCCATTGAAAAAGGTTCTTTTTCTATAACTAGATCAAATAGATGGAGGAATGGATATAAAATCATTTCATATTAGGTTAGCGATAACATCAGCATAAAATATATGTCCTTCCTATATGCTTGCCCCAATCCAGTGTTATTTGACAGAAACACTTAAAATTAGGAAATCTGAAATTATTACTGATGTGATACAGCATGCCAAAAAGTTCAGGGTGTCTGCTGCTGACATGCATGGTCAAGTTCAAGAACATTTTTAAACAGTATTATTTTACACACATGTTCCCAGAAGGAAAATTCTCTTCCCTTTTAAATGTTGGTTTTCCATTCCGTTATGACTTATTCAGGCAAGTATATAAAAATACCGAGTTTGCAATGTTCTTTCATGTCACAGACTTCATTATGAAGTTTTAAAAAATCTGAGCTATGATCTTTCCCAATTAAAAACATTCACTTTTAAGCCCTTGTTTTTCAACCCTATTTTCAATTTCAAGTCCCACCAGGGAGATGTTTTAACCCGCTGATGTCTGGATCCCATCCCAGAGATTTGGTTTGATTTGGGGTGGCAGGGCCTGGTCATCTGCATGTTTTGAAAGTTCCCCAGGTCCTTCTGATGAGCAGTCACATTACACAGCACTGGTTTAAACACACAAAAATTCTTGACTCTTCAGAGTTGGCATTTGCTCTTGTCACTTTCCACCAGGAAAGAAATAAATCATAAACATGCCAGGTTTTCTGCATTTACTGCTGCTAGAATAAAATATATTCTGTATTCTTATGTTCCAGTCAACCTTCCAGACAGTACAGCTGATGGCAGCTGCAGAAATCAACACCTATAACCCTCAGATCTATGTAATTGAAGATAACACTGTCACGGTGAGTGCATCACGCCCCTCCCTGTGAGTGTTAGTTAGAGTCTACGGTAGGCATTCCATTGCTGAAAACTTGGAATAGTCATTCTTCTCATCTACATGTATCTAGAAGTATCTTACTGAAACTTTAAAAATGTGATGGTTATTATGTTAAACTTTTGGCATGGGTGCTTCCTACTCAAAAAGTTCACTGATATATGTCCTCCATGCTGCACTGCCCCCCCCCCCCCCCCGTTGGCAAGGCTGGCTTTCCTAGAAGTGGTGACCCAATGAAAGGCACAACAAAAGGGCCCCTCTCTTGGCTGGGACTCCGTAGTGTCTCTTCTCCATGCCTAAACTAGCACCACCAGTTCTTCCTTTCTCCACATGCTTACCCAAAACTATCTAGATCTTAGGCTGCAAAGTCTACATCATGCTGATTTAAATCATAAGTTATATTTTAGAGTATTTTTTAAAGAGAAGTGCTACAGCATGCTTAATAAATAAGGTGTTTTTTTTAAAATAGTACTCGTTACAATTAGACACTGACACTGTGTGACATGCCCATTCATTAGGTCTTACATTCTAGAAAACTATAAATGCTCCCCTTCATGAAAAAGCTTTTGCAAAGAAATGTACTTTTACAGAAAACAAAGGCTCTCTGTTCTAAGAGCTGGCACAAGACAATTTTCCTTTGCACTGAAACTCTGGTTAGAATATGCCATATTTAGATACAGTGGGATTTCCATGCCCAGCTAATCTGCTGGCAGAGCCCTGAGCATTTTCCTCCCAATGCTTGTATTAGGAGTTGGAAGCCAGTTCAAGACTCTGTCCCCAGGGCCAGCTTGACAGTTGGCCTCAGTCCACTGCTGCAGCCTACAGACTTAGTTAAAGAGGCAATGGCCCCGTGAACTCTGGACCTCACTCAGTGCCTGAGAGTAGAGCTCACAGCACTGCTGCCCCACTCTTGTCCCAGGGAAAATGATTCTACACAATAGAGGTCACTTTTCTGCTTCTGGTTTAGAAGCCTCAGTGAAAGCCCACACCCTCTCTTCCCAGGCTGGGGCCTGGAAAATCAGAAATGGAGCCAAAGGAAATGTGGACTTCAATTCAAAGTGCTATGAATTTAGCCTAGGGGAAAGTAGTATAGTTTTTGTTTAAAGATCACTTTAGAAAAATTTAGCATTCAGACAATATGTGAAACTGAGGAAGTCTTTGTTTTTTAGAAAGCAGTATTAAATATATTAATTGGAAATTCAAATGACCAACTTTAACAAACCCATTAGATTTTTGTTTTTTTGGTTTTCTCTGAGCAATGCTAATAAATAACAGAAGCCAACTATTACTTGTGTCTATGGAAATATTTTTTTAATCCAAACAATTTGGATAATTTTTTGAATAATGTTTTGAATATAAATAATATCGACATTTTTATAGGTACATAAGTGATTTTTATAGGCAGATAAGTGATTGCTACATTTATTTAAATCCCTGAACCACTTAAAAATCTGATCCACAAAATGTTATACTCGTGGGTTCATGGACCCCAGATTAGGAAGCTGTGGAACAGAGAGAAGTAGTATATGACTTTCTTATTTATTTATTTATTTATCTGAGACAGAATCTCCCTCTGTCCCCCTAGGTAGAATACAGTGGCATGATCATAGCTCACTGTAACCTCAAACTCCTGGGCTCAAGCAACCCTCCTACCTCAGCCTCCTCCGTAGGTGGGACTATAGGCCCGGCTAATTTTTTCTATTTTTAGTGGAGATAGGGTCTTGCTCTTGCTCAGGTTGGTCTTGAACTCCTGAGCTCAAGTGATTCTCCCAGAGTGCTAGGATTACAGGTGTGAGCCAAGAGCCTGGCCCAAGAAAAGTAGGCATATCACTTAATAGTCACTTTATTCAGTAATTTATAAAGCCTTATTTTAACTCTTAAAAATACAAATTAGAAGAAATACGGTCACCAAGGCCAGCTCCAAGTTTAGCCCAGCCCATAAATTATGTGAAAAAAAGCAGCTCATCTGCCACTGCAATTTAATGTTAAACCAAGTCAGAAATTGGAGATTGTTTCCTTCTTTTGCTTCAAAATATAGCTCTTTAAGAGTATTTTGTGAAGAAAATGGTTGACACTCTTTCCCCAGTTAAAGAAAAGATCATGCATTTTTACTGTTAAGACTCAGGACAGCCATTCCCTTACGGCCCTTACAGCTGGAGATTGCCAGGGAGGGAGCAGACAAAAAGAACCCTAAATAGCCTCAGGGACAACTTTATCACTGAAAGGTCAAGTTGAGCCCTAAGATACTATCTCTACTTTTCAACTTTTGACATCCACCTTGAATGAGACTTAAGTGAAATCTGTATTTTAGAAACACAATACAAAGTTGTTGTTGTTTAATCACAGTGCAGTTGAGTTAATTAGTTTGTTCTCTGACTCCCTTCCCCAAGGCTGTTTGCTTTCTCTCCATGGTGCTTTCCCTGGATGTGAATGTACGCCAGAAAATGAAGGCCCTATCGCATAAATAATTATCTGAAATGCAGCCGTAAAATACTGATGTAGTTAAAAGGAGAAAACAGAAAATTTGTTTTCCTTACCTGGACTTCGCAGGAGCATTTTCTCTAAAAATTGTTCAATGTTTGAAGAATGTACAATGTTTGAGGAATGCCATCAAGAAAAAGTCGTGTCACCTTTCTAGAACCATGGACCTTCATTCACAAAATTAGAGAATTGTACTAGACCATCTCCCTTCTTTTTTTTTGGTGCTAAAATTAGTAACTCAACTGTGAACATATATTTACAGATTCCCCTTACGATAATGAAACCTGATGAGAAAGCTGAAGTACCAACGGGAGTTATTGTAGGAAGTATCATTGCGGGGATCCTTTTGCTGTTAGCCTTAGTTGCAGTTTTATGGAAGGTAAGAAAAGTTTCATATTTTAAAATACAGGCTCCTGAAGGCCTCTGTCTTGAATTTGCTTGCAAAACAGCAGCCTTAGGTTTTACATGGAACCTCCTATATTATGTGAAAAAATGAATGCAAATTTGTTTACAGTTTCTCACTCACGTCTTTGAAAACAACCAGTAAGGATTTTATATCCTTTTTTAACCTTGTTTTCATCCAGATCTCTGAACATTTTGTTCAGCTTCAGATAAGTAGACTCAGAGAAATTTAACTTTCTGCAATTCAGCAGAACTCTCTGGATACACATTTCCTCACTAAAGGAGTGAGAGATACCCAGTCAGCAGTCCGCACACCACGCTCTCCAGAGCCTTAGGGATTCCCAGAGGGGCCTCAGAGGAAGTGGGCAGCAAGCGGGTCAAAGACACCACACAAAATAAGCAGTGGGTGGTAACAGTCTTACATCATCACCTTTACAGCTCGGTTTCTTCAAAAGAAAATATGAAAAAATGACCAAAAATCCGGATGAGATTGACGAGACCACAGAGCTCAACAGCTGAACCACCCAGCACACGGGAATTGGCAGCATCCCAGCCAGGGTTGGCTGTTTGTGTGAATGGATTTCTTTTTAAAATCCCAGTTTTTTTATAATATAAAAGGTAAACTAGCCTGGCATTTTAAGAGAAACTGCAGGTCAGTTTGGAATAAATAAATTGTGGGTGGGGGTTAGGGATATAAAGGGTAAAAGACTTACTTTGTACAAGGGGAAAAAAAGTAATCTTTAAACTGGCTGGTCCAGAGTTTACATTCTAATGTGCATTGAGTCAGAATCGTGAAATGCTTCCATGCATGACAAGTTTTAAAGAAAATATAACTTTCTCAACTTCTTTTGGGGAAAAAAAAATGCTGTCTTTAAAATGCTTGCCTGTAAACAACAACAACAAAAGTGGAAGTACCTGGTATAATAAATAAATATATATATAAAATTTATATTTTATATATATATAAGTACTTCCACTTACATATATAATTATCATGAATATTGATGTTAACAAGAGGGGGGGAAAACACAGGTTGTTTTTCAATTAATGCTGCTCATCCAAAGTTGCCACAGAGGATACTTTTAAGTGATAATTTTATTTATCAACTAGGTAAAATTTGCTTGGTTCCTTTCAGTGCACAGCTGCCTCTTCAGAGTCCCATCCTGCTTTAATTGCCAAAACTTGCTTGAATAACTGACCGGAGCTTAGAGTATAGCTCCTACTGAGGAAATCTCCATTTCAGTTGGGGTAGGGGCAGTTTAGAGGCCAAGGCACAAAACTTTGCTTAAAACACATAATAGAACAACATTTATGGTCAATTCCTGCCTGCCGGAGGCCGAGACCGTGACAGAGGAAAGAGAAGGAGGAAATTTCCTCCCCCTTTTAGGGTACACAACAGCTCCCTTTTAGGACTTGATTAGGTAGCTGGCAGGGACCTAGTGAATTTTTGAAAGATGAGTAATTTCTTTGGCAATGTTCCTTTCCCCTTACCGAACCACTCTCCCTCCTCCTGGAGCCCCCATATTATAGAAGCCTTCTGAAGCCTGCCTTCCTCTCCAATGGTCCAGAGTTGTCCGCCTTCCTTTACCCTTCATCCAAAATTCCCACTCCCTCAGGACAGCTGCTCTACACCAGATATTAGGAGGGAAAAACTCATCAACTGCCATGTGAGTTGTATTTAACTCACACTCGTTTTGAGCCCGGGGCCTCGTCAAGCATATGTAATTCACACGTCTCTTCACTTTGGAAGCTGCAAGAACTATTTTTCAAGTTGCAGATAACTCACACACAGAAAACAATAAAAAATAACAAATTGTTCATTAAATTAAAAAGGATCATTTTGTTTTTTAAGTTTTTATTCTATTTTTATAATAAAACACCGTGGCCTCATGGAAAAAAAAAATTTTTTCTAGTGTGGCAGTCAATGTGTTAATTCACAAACTTGTATGAATTACTGTATAAATCCCTTAACTTCAGGGAACTATTTTCATTTATTGCTAAACAAGTAAGAAAAATAAGCCTGAGTGAATTTCTAAATTTTGGAATTTCAGGCAGTGTAAACAAGTTAAAGTAAAATATCTCAGGATTTTGCAAGAAGTTACATACAAGGCATTGGAAACCATCAAATTAGCAGGTGCACGCTCTGTGCTTGTCTTGTTTCCAGAGTACTTCAACTTCCATAAGAATGAGTGTTCACTTTTGCAAGCTGGTGCAAAATGTAGATCCTATAATTCTTATTTGGTCAGAGTGGGATAAAGCCCAGTAATCTTCATTTTAACAAGCACCCCAGTCATTATGATGTAAATGGACCACACTGAGGAACCACCACCCATTTCTACTTTTTCCATCTTCTTTTCTCTACTCTTGAGCACACACATTCTCTAGGAAAAACCCGGAGGAAAAGGGCACAAGAAAGGGCAATGGGAACTATTTTGTCAGACACTACATACCTAAAGCTTTGAGGACAAGTCCTCGACTTCTATAAATTTCAGCATCTTCATTATAAAATGCGATGACTGGGCTGGAGCTCAGCAGTAGTGCTTTCAGTTTGAAAAGTCTATCATCTGGATTTCCTATAATACAAATAGAAAATCCTCCAAGAGTTTGACTTGGGAAAGACGTCAGAGGAAAACAGATATCTGCCATGTGCATATGAATGGCTGTGACTGCCCTCCTGGCCTGGCCCCTGCCAGCAGTCCAGAGCTATATGTACTGTTTAATGATTTACCTTGTGTTTGACAAAGCAAAACAAACAAGGAAAAAAAAATTAGCCATAAAACATCAGGGGTTTATAGCAAAACCAGCATGGTACTCTCTAGTCAGGTGTGCCAGAGCCCAATTCTTTTAACAGCTGTGTGAATTCACTGTTTCATTCCAACCAAAATTTTATTTAAAAAGAGCAGAGAAACTAGTCATTAGGTTGATAAAGAATATTTAACAAACCATGTAACTACTGTATATATACATACTAGTTTTCCAATGTGCTATACAAAGAAATATAGCACATCAGTCCTTTTATTTTATTCTGCCTCACCTTGCTTAGGTAAGTTCTAAACTAAGGTCACATACACACATTGAGCTTGGGAACTCTGGCTAAGACTTGCCTTAAGTAGTCAGCCTTAATTACACTGTTTCCAGGAAGTACTTGGATTACTATAAAGTAAAATATTATCCACTTGTCTCCCTCCACACCACTTATCACACCAGAGAAGTGTTTCTCTACCTGGGCACTATTGTCATTTTGGACTAGGTGGTTCTTCCTTATCGAGGGCTGCCCTGTGCCTTGTAGGATGTTTAGCAGCATTCCTGGCCTCTGTTAGAAGCCAGGTAGCATCCTCCCCCCGCAGTTGTGACTATCAAAAGATGTCTCCAGACATTGTCAAGTGCCTCCTGGGAGGAGTACTTCTCAAGCACTTTTAAGCAAAGGCAACTATTTATTAAGAAATTAAGGAGAACAAAACATTGTTTTAAAGGAAAGTTATGTCTTTCTATTCATATTATACTTTTGCTTTAAAAGTAAGTAGAGTAGAGGTTGTAAAAGATGTCATGTTAAAATTTCCATTTCATAAATGGTGTATAGACAAGGCCTATAGAATGAGATAAAAATTCTGAGTTGCTTCATGCATGGCTGCCACACAAGCATTATAAAATAGTAACATGGTAAAAGTAGCTTGATGAAGAAACTGCATTGAGATTTAAAATTGTGCATTACTCATTTCAGCAGCAAAGTAATAACTCCTAACTGGACAAAAATTTTTTCTAGCTGGCAATGTTATTAGTTCTGTAAAATAGTGAAAGTTATCTATTAACTGTGAAGAGTAAGGAAACTAAAGCAATTTATTATAATCTCACAAGTGATTATACTAAAAATTATTTTTTATAATATAGTTATCCTGATACATAGCTTTAACCCAATATATGAAAATTTCATAAATTAAGACATCATTAAACACAAGGGTAGAATTCCTTAAACGGAGCTCCCAGATCCATCTTTAATATTTCAATTTGCACATAAAACAATTGTATACACAACTTTCTAGGACTATGCCCTTCATGTACATTCAGGCATATTTGTTTTAATCAATTTGAAAGATTAATTTAAACATCTAGAGGTGAAAGATAAACACATAGGTAAATTTTGAAATAAATGAAAACATTAATTACTTCTTTGAACTTTAAAAATGAAAATGTAGCCATTAGGTAAATATAGTTTCATATGTACCTGATTTATTTTGACAGATGAAGTCAAAATATAAATGTATATATTGCACAACTGTGTTATAATTGTATATTTTTTAAAGAAGAAATTGTCTTGAATATTTTCCTTCAGACATAATGCATAAGTCTTTAAGATGTGATAAGTATATTTGCTGTTTTTGATTAAATGTGTATTGTTTTTTCTCTCCACTAAAACTATGAACATAAATATATGCATGTTTGTATATCAGGTTGCACAAATCATTTTGACTTCTGAGAAACAAAAATCAAATTGGAGTAGAAATTAACAAATTGTCTTTCTCATATCAAAGTGAGAGAATCAAACAGAAAAAGTTTTATTTAATTGTATACCACTCTTTTCATGCCACATTATTGAATATCATTAAAATTGTTTTGAAAATAAAGCTATTTTCTTTGGGTTTTCATTTTTACAACTTACACATTTTACTATATTTATGTATTCACTTGCTTCAGAACACATTCACGACTAAATTTAAGAAGACTGAGGATGTAACTAGCCATAGATATCCAGTCTGTTCCATTTCTAGCATTGACCACGAGCATGTTTCACAGGAGCCTTAAACTGCCTTCAGAGCTTACGGACTTAAGAGTAAAGTCTTGCTCCTAAAAGTGTGGTGCACGGCTAGGCAGTGCTGCATCACCTGGGCGCCTGTTACAAAACCCAGATCTCAGGTGCCACCCGGAACTACTAAATCCAAATTGGAAGTGAAACAAGATCCCCAGGTGATTCATATTACGCTAATGTTTGAGAAGCACTGCTCTAAAGCACAACTTACCTCTTCAAATAAAATGTACGATAGGAATAGAGAGGGAAAAACGTCAAACTCCTGCAGCATGCAAAAACATAGTCATCTGCACAGCTGTTTTTTTTTTTTAATTTTGGTAGTAAGAATGAGGGTTTAAATATTTTTATTTAAAGATTAGATATGCTGAAATGCATACACTGGAATTATAAAATAAGATACACATCGGGCTCACAGACTGCCATCACTGTACAGGTGGCAGATTAATGCAAAGGGTGGGTGGAAAGTGTGTAAGTGCCGCCATTTATACAGATGCACAAATGTCTCCCACCCGTTTATCAGGTGTTCTCTGCCCATCCCTGCCCATCCCAATTGTGGTGAACCCTCTCACAAGGGCAGCTTACTGCAGCACAACTACCAATAGTGTGTCTGGTTTAAATCTCACGTTAAAATACAACGTGGGAGAGCTGGGCATGGTGCTGGGGGCCTGTACTCCCAGCTACTCAGGAGGATGAAGCAGGAAGATTGCTTGAGCCC